GTAAAGAACAGGGTGTGTTAATCCCAGAGGTACAGAGGTGGAGGCAGGAAGATCCTTGGGGCTTGCTGACCAGCCAGCCTAGCCTAATCAGTGACCTCAGGTCCCACTGAAAGATCCTGTCTCAAAACAAGGTGAACAGTGCCTGAGGAATGACACCCTAAGTTGATATCTGACTTTCTCAAGCATGTACACATGGATGCCTACCCCCCCATACACGAACATGCATGTACACACTCATGTGCACCTGCATACCCCTCCCCCATGCACATACAAATTTGGAATACAAGAGACTTCTTGGGATGAGTGGTTTTTGTTTTTTTGTTTTGTTTTTTTAAATCACAAGAGGTAGGGATAGACATCTAGAGGTTAATGAATGACTTAAGACCTGTCCATTGTAATACATGAACTCTTTTTATACATTAACTAGGATGTCACTTTTAAAACAACAAAACAAAAGCTATGTAAATGTTCTTTTATCTGTAAGAGATAAATACTAAAATATATCAGACTTCTCTTTTTAATTTTTATTATTTCTATTTTATGTGTATGAGTGTACTGCCCACACGTAGGTAAGTGCACCTGTGTCGTGCAAAGCCCACGGAGGTCAGAAGAGGCTGTCGGATCCTCTGAGACTGGAGTTACAGACGGTTGTTAGCTGCCATGTGAGTGCTGGGATTTGTACCCGGGTCTTCTGCAAGAACAACCAGTGGTCTTAACTGCTGAGCCATCTCTCCAGTCCCCAGACTTCTCTCTCTTTTTTTTTTTATGGATACATCATGCCTAAAATTAACCCCAGAGCAAGCTGAGTGGTGGTGGGGGTAATGAGTGGGGGGTAGCTGAAGCAGAGCAGGCCAGGGGTTTATACTTGAGGCTTGAAGGGAAGAAAGGGTCTTACCTTGACTAGGGAGAAGGGCTCAGCATCCAGCACACAAGAGGTGCTCAGCAAATATTTGTTGAAGGAATGATGCACCGGTTGAAAGGTAAGCTAACTCATGTCTTCCCAAATTCATAGGGCAACATTCTAATTCCCAGTGTGGCTCCATTTGAAGACAGAGCCTTCAAGGAGCATGAGGTCATAAGGACAGAGCAGGATGGGTCCTTATTAGATAAGGAGGAGTCACTAGGGGAGCATGTGCTTAGTGAACAGGCCAGGAGAGGGGCAGGGCCCGTGCACAAGCTAAGAAGTAGGGCCTCAGGAGGAGCCAGCCCTCCCAAAACCCTGATCTTGGACTTCCAGCTTCCAGAATGGTGAAAATAAACACTTGCTGTTAAAGCCGGCCAGCTTTTGGCATTCACTCATGGCAGGCCTGACTGACTGATGCACTGGGCTTCTCCTGAGGAACTGGTGTCCCCTGAAAGTGATAAGCCACCTTCTCCTAAACCCTGGTATGGAGGTCGTGGGAAGGAAACTGGAAGGGGGCAGTCAGGTGCTGGCCTCAGTTTGGAGCTGATGAGACATAGTGGATGGAGAAGCAAAGTGCTTTTGTGCCTGGCTGAGGAGTATCTTCCTCAATCTCTCTCCAACTTATTTTCTGAGACAGGCTCTTTCACGGGACCTGGAGCTCACTGATTTGGCTAGATTGGCTGACCAGCAAGCCCGGGGAACCTCCTGTCTCTGCCTCCCCAACACTGGGATGATAGATGCATAGCACCACACCCAGATTTTTACATGGGTTCTGGGCATCCCAACCCAGGTCTTCATGCTTGTGTGGTACATTTTACTGACTGAGTCATCTCTCTGGCCCGAAGTTTATTTTTGTGATGCTTTGGATTGAATTCAGGGCCTTGTGTGTGGTAGGTAAGCCTCTACCACTCTCAGCCCCCTTGAATGCATTTCTTAATGTCTCAAAAGATTAGTTGGTCCTAGTAGCTCAGGGCTTTAATCTCAGCTACTAGGGAGGCTAAGACAGGGGGATTCCAAGTTCGAGACTCAGTTTTTTTACATGGGTGCTAGGGATCTGACTTGGGTCTTCATGCTTGTGTGGCAAACCCTTTACTGACTGAGCCACCTCCCCAGCCCCTACACCGAATTCTTAACAGTTTTTCCACGAGAAGTGAGCTTTTCCACTTGAACTTTTTATTATACTTGGGCATAGTTTGAAACTTTTGCAACCACAAGCTTCTTTTAAAAATTGAAACTGAAAACACTCTAGAGGCCATTTATCTCCTTTTTTCTATGTAATTCTTGTGACCCAGAATGTTTTCCTAAATTCAGTTTGAGAATCTTTGTTTTCCAATGGAGAGTTTGTTGCCTTTATTGTCATAACTGATACACTTGTCTCAGTGATGTCATTTTTCTAACGCTCTCAATTTCTGAAGATTCCACGTGGTGTCTGTCTTTATTTTTGTGATAGGCAACATGTCCTCTTTTGTTTTAATTGTCTACTGGGACAAAGTAGAAAACCTTCTTTTCATTCTGTTTGGGGATGCTTTGAAGTCTTTGGCGAATTCGTTTGATATTACATTCTCTGTATTGATAGCGTTCAGAAGAGCACTGTAGTGGGGACAGGCCTGAGTCAGGGTGCGAATTCTGGGCTCCATCCCTTCCAAGCTGGGAGGGCACTGGGCAGGTGACTGGCCTTCCTGTGCACCAGGGGGGATGATTAGCACACCTGTTTCCTGGGGCTGGGGCTAGGTTGCAACACCTACTCTAGTGTTAATGTGGTCCAGTTATTCGGCTCCTCCTTGAAGGACAGGCAAGGGAGAGATAAACACAAAGGCACTGCTGGGACGCGGCCTTCAGGACCTGAAAGTCTTCCTTAGATAATTTCTGACTTTAAACACATGGATTGCCCGTGACCTCAAACTGCTGTTACTGACCATACCCAGTCCAGCCCCTCATGTGCAACCCAAGATTGCTTTTGAGTGGCAGTGGCAGAGTTGAATAGAGAGACCTTAGGGTCCACACAAATTGAAAATACCCCCGCTCTGGTCCTTTAAGAAAAAGTTTGGCCACTCCTGCTTTTGGATCTGCAGGTGACAATCTTCCTTCTTTCCAAATTTAGAAGCTATTTCCATCCTTGTGCTATTATAATCTCTCAGAAGCTGAGTGGCTCTCAGCATATATTAAAGGATTGTCTAAAAGACCATTAGTGTTTGCATTTAACTGTCCACCAGGTGGGGACACTTAATCAGAAACAAATCCCCCCAGAATGGAAACAAAGACACAGATCATGAAGCTGAGGTCTCTGCGGGCTTGGAGCAGGTGAGGAGGGCAGGCCCTGGGGTCTTTATTTTATTGCTCTGGCTCTAAGGTTTCAAAGTTACTGTACTCCAAAAAAAAAAAAAAAAACA